GCCATTGCACTCCAGCCTGGGTAACAAGAGCAAAACTCCGACTCAAAAAAAAAAAAGATGGAGTTTCACCATGTTAGTCTGGTCTCGAACTCCCAACCTCATGATCCGCCCGCCTCGGCCTCCCAAAGTGCTAGGATTACAGACGTGAGCCACCTCGCCCTATTCCTTTTCTTTGAGATAGAGTCTTGCTCTGTCGCCCAGGCTGGAGTGCAGTGATACAGTCTCCACTCACTATAATCCCTGCCTTGCAAGTTCAAGCAATTCTCCTGCCTCAGTCTCCTGAGTAGCTGGAACTACAGGTGCCCACCACCACACTCACCTAATTTTTGTATTTTTAGTGAAGACAAAGTTTCACTATGTTGGCCAAGCTGGTCTCGAACTCATGGCCTCAAGTGATCTGCCGCCTCAGCCTCCCAAAGTGCTGAGATTACAGGTGTGAGCCTCTAGCCCAGCCATTATTATTCCTTTTTCACAGATGAGAAAATCAAGGCTTGGAGACTTAAAACCGGGGACCCAAGGCTACCAGGGAACCAGCCCTGTTGAACTCTGGCATTCCTGTTCTGAATAACAGTCTAGTGAAGTTTCCAAGAAGTTCCATGTTGAATTCTTTGGGCTGTGCTTCCAGGCACTTGAAGTTCTGGTTCATTGTCTGTGCCTCAGTGGACAAGTCTGAGAAACCCCCGGGGGTCTGTAGCCCTATGGGGTGGGAAGCTTTTGAATCTACCTCCCTCTTTGCCAGGCCCACCTCTGACCCCGGGATGCTCTCTCAGTCTTCTGATGTCCTCTTTCCACAGGGCAGCACAGACTATTTCTTAAGCAGTGGTGACAAGATTCGATTCTTCTTTGAGAAAGGCGTTTTTGATGAGAAAGGTTTGGAGCGGGGTCCCCAGAGCTGGAGAGGAGACATGGTGAGGGTGGGCGGGATGCGGGTATCTGCCCCCAGGGCTGGAAGCCTGCTGAGGCCAGCTGCCCATGGAAGGATAGACACCAGTTCTCTGCCTTTATCTGTTCTTTGTGCCACAGGAAATTTCCTGGTCCCTCCAGAGAAATCCATCAACAAAATTGGCCATGGTGAGCAGGGGCTTGGGGGTGCAGGAAAGAAAATGGGGGAACTGTCTGGGAGCAGTGGCTCACGCTTGTAGTCCTAACCCTTCGGGAAGTCAAGGTGGGCCAATCACTTGAGATCAGGAGTTCACCAGGGAGGATCTGTAAAAAGAAAAAAAAAAAAGGAGTTCAAGACCAGCCTGGCCAACGCGGTGAAAACCCATCTCTACTAAAAATACAAAAATTGGCTGGGTGTGGTGGCTCACGCTTGTAATCCCAGCTCTTTGAGAGGCTGAGGCAGGTGGATCATAAGGTCAGGAGTTAAGACCAGCCTGGCCAAGATGGTGAAATCCCGTCTCTAATAAAAATACAAAAATAAGCCGGGCGCAGTGGCAGGCACCTGTAATCCCAGCTACTTGGGAGGCTGAGGCAGCAGAATCATTTGAACCTGGGCGGCGGAGGTTGCAGTGAGCTGAGATTGCGACACTGCACTCCAGCCTGGGATGATAGAGTGAGACTCTGTCTCAAAAAAACAAAACAAAAGAAAACAAAAATTAGGTGGGTGTAGTGGTGCACACCTGTAGTCCCCGCTACTCAGGAGGCTGAGGCAGGAGAATCGCTCGAACCTAGGAAGGGAATGTTGAAGTGAGCCAAGATTGTGCCATTGCACTCCAGCATGGGTGACAGAGACAGAGTAAAACACTGCTCAAAAAAAAAGAAAAGAAGAAAAAAAAAGAAAATGGAGGAACTGAGGCCTGAAGAGTTTAGGAGCCTTAATGAAAGCCCATATGGCCAGGCTCGGTGGCTCACACCTGTAATCCCAGCACTTTGGGAGGCCAAGGTGGGCAGTTCACCTGAAGTCAGGAGTTCGAGACCAGCCTGACCAACATGGTGAAACCCTGTCTCTACTAAAAATACAACATTAGCTTGATATGGTGGTACATGCCTATAATCCCAGCTACTCAGGAGGCTGAGGCAGGAGAATCGCTTGAACCCAGGAGGCGGAGGTTGCGGTGAGCTAAGATTGCGGCACTACATTCCAGCCTGGGCAACAAGAGTGAAACTTCATCTCAGAAAAAAAAAAAAGAAAAAGAAAGCCGATAGTAAGTTAGTGGTCAGGCAGGTGGCATTTCTGCTGCAGGCTCCCCTCTGGTCCTGTGCTAATCATGACACTGCTGCTACAGCACTGGGGATCCAGAGTCCACTTGATCCCCCCCAACAGATGGGCATATGCAGGCTTTTCCACTGTCTACTGCCTGGCGTGGGGCGCTCCTGGGTCCAGTGCTCCCTGGAGTCACCGTAAGAGGCACCTGACCTGCTGACAGGGTCCCGATTCTGAGACTCCAAAGCCAAGTAAGAAAACCCTCACTTTTTTTCTTTAGGATCATACATTATAATTTGTTATGTAGATTGTTTATTTATTTATTAATTATTTATTTATTTTTGAAACGGAGTTTCGCTCTTGTTGCCCAGGCTGGAGTGCAATGGCATGATCTTGGCTTACCGCAACCTCTGCCTCCCAGGTTCAAGTGATTCTCCCACCCCAGCCTTCTGAGTATCTGGGACTACAGGCATGCGCCACCACACTTGGCCAATTTTTGTATTTTTAGTAGAGACAAGGTTTCTCCATGTTGGTCAGGTTGGTCTCAAACTCTCGACCTCAGGTGATCCGCCCACCTGGGCCTTCCAAAGTGCTGGGATTACAGGCATGAGCTACCGTGCCTGGCCGCTTATTTATTTTTTTAAATAAAATTGAGATGAGGTCTTGCTATGTTGCCTAGGCTGGTCTTGAACTCCTGGGCTCAAGTGATCCTCCTGCCTCGGCCTCCCAAAATACTGGGATTACAGGCATAAGCCACTGCGCCTGGCCTAGAATGCTTATTGTTAAACCTGAATTTATATCGTGATAGGCTTGTAGGCAAGCTGGGGTAAAATACATGTAAGATTTACCATACCATCATCACCATTTTAAAGTACGCAGCTCAGTGGCATTAAATCCATTCAGTCTTATGTTTATGACAATGAGGGACTATCCCATGCCAGGCCCTGGGCTGTCACTGCACATTCATTAGCCCATCAAGTCCCACAGCAGCCCTGCCTCCCGGGTTCCTCTAATCCTTATTCGACAGAAGAGGAAACAGGCTTACGGGAGAGACATGGTTACTCGCGGTCACACAGAGCAAGTGGTGGTACTGAGATTGCTACCGTGTGATTGGCCCCTTGGAGCCCTTAGTCATCTGTGAGGGGTGGGGAGTCGGGGCTGGACTGAGCTTCCCAGATGCCCAGAAGGTCAAGAACAAGGGCATGGATGGCATAGGGCCTGGGGCGGGGGAGGGCTCCTGTGGGGCCCATTACTCGGTTATAAACAAGCAGAAGGGTTAATACGTACAAAACAGGTGACAATGTCCAAGTGAGCCTGAGTGTGGGTGCCCAGAGCTGGGTGTGGAGGGCCACGTGGGCCTGAGACGGGCCGTCAGCCTCTTCCCCTCCTGCAGCTCTGCACGCCCACGACCCCATCTTCAGGAGCATCACACACTCTCCCAAGGTGCAGGTGAGCAGAGGTGGGGGTGAGGGCCAGGAGGGTGGGCCATGTGTGTGGTAGGCTGGCAGCATGACCTATGCCCCCCTCCAGGCCTTGGCCAGAAGTCTGGGCCTCCAGATGCCTGTGGTGGTGCAGAGCATGTACATCTTTAAGGTGAGCTCCACGTCCTCTCCAGGCCTCAGTTTACCATCTGTACAATGGACAGACAGCTCATCCCAAGCCCTTTCTTACCATGGGCCAAAAGTTGCTGGAATTATGCTGGTGGGAGAATGCGGAAAATCAGTCTCCTCTGGCTACAGCACCTGGCATTTAGTTGATGCTCAGTTAAAATTTAGTGATAGGAGAGAGGGTCATCCCCAGGCCTCCCTCCTCCCTTCTTTGCCTATTGAAATGCTGTGCTCCCCGCTTTCAAGACCCCGCTTAGTGCCACTTCATCTAAGAAGCCTTCAAGAACCCCTGAGAAAAGGGGGGCCTGTCTGACTCTAGGGCTGGAAGGCTCAACTGCTGGCCTGTTCCTAGCCTCTCCTTCCAGTCCTTGCCCCGTTCTGCTTTGTGATCTTGTTAAGCATGTGTGTGCTTGCAGATGCTAGGAACTCCTTCTTGGGCGGGGAGAGGATTTCTCTTTGCATCCCTCCTGGGCCTGACACACAATAGGTGCCCAGCAGCTGGGTGTGGACGTGAAATCCTGGCAGGAAAATCTCAGAACTTTGGGAGGCCAAGGAGGGTGGATCACCTGAGGTCGGGAGTTCGAAACCAGCCTGCCCAGCATGGTGAAATGGAGCAAGCCCTGCTCCTCTCCACCCTCTGTCCTCACTAGGCTTTTTCTGTCTCTTGCAGCAACCTCACATTGGCGGTGAAGGTGAGCTGAGAGCTGTGGGCCCCTGAAAAGGCCATGGGTGGGACATCTAAGCCAACAGTGGCTGTCAGATCTTTAGGAGGGAAACTGCTTGCTGCTGTAGGAGCCTGGGCCAGAGAGGAAGAGCCGCTTTCCGTTCATTCCTCTGATAGTGACTTGGCAGAGAAACCTTGCGCTCCAGGCATAGTGGGTCCTGAACTTGATAGCAACACCTAGCTGGTTAAAAATACAGATTTCCGGCCGGGCGCGGTGGCTCAAGCCTGTAATCCCAGCACTTTGGGAGGCCGAGGCGGGTGGATCACAAGGTCAAGAGATCGAGACCATCCTGGTCAACAAGGTGAAACCCCGTCTCTACTAAAAATACAAAAAATTAGCTGGGCATGGTGGCGCGT